TAGTCTAACTTTTACAAGCACTTACATGTATATTTTTGTGAGTGAGCAATAAATATTTAAAATAAGAGGTGGGACTTACTGTTGTGCTGTTCTTGGATTGGTGGAACAATTTGTGGGACTTGGCCTAGACCTGATTGTGGGGTACCCTGAATGCTGTTGAAGCTTCCCCTTCCACTATCCACAGGAGCACTAACAAAAGGGTCTGGTCCTGGCCCTGCTGATGAAGACCTTTCATCCCTCACATTCAAAGGTATACCCCGTTCGATGCTGGAAAAAGAATGTCTAGGGCTAACAGGTGGGGTTGTTCCACTGATGGGAGGTAGTGGATGGGAGGGAGAGATGGATGAGTGAGTTGTCTTCGCACTACTTGGCCTCGGACACCACAGGTCAGTTTGCCTGTGTCTGGGAGACTCTCTGGGGCTGCTGAGAAATTCGAATCATATCAAAAAAATTCACTGATAACAGCAACTCTTCCAAGCACAAACCACTAACTAAACCAATCAGAATACCTTTGCTCAAAAAAATTTGTAATGAACAGTAACATCTGTCTTTCCATTGCGATGACAATGAACAAAGATCTAGAGTATACAAATAATAACTACTTATGAGAGCAAAAGTTATAACTTCTTGAAGTGACTATAGAGCTTCCATCCAATCATGTTTTACTGGAGGGGGGCCTACACAGGCCACGGTCCACTTCATAAAAAGCCACTTTTTTTAATACTGAAAGAAAGAATTTCCTTTCTCTTCTTTCCAAAAGTATGTAAAAAGCCCCAAACTGAATCTTCACCCTTCAAAAGGACCATCGAAATAATCCCAATTTTTGGCCCCCACCAAACAACATTTTTCTTTTGACTGCATGATGTAAACATTAATTACATGTTTTATACATATTCTGAAAAAAATACAGAATGAATTTCTGAATACCACAATAAATCCCGATTCCACCACAAGTTGAACATTCAAGGTTACCACAAACTTCCCATTTACTGGTTGAATGGAACCTCTCTTATGCAGCTACTGAAGCCACACAATGTGTTCAGACAAATACAATGACCCAGTAAGCAATGCACTGATAAGATGCAGGGAATATTCATACCTTGCATAATATACATGCATATCTTTACCCTCACAAAGCCTGCCACACTTACTCCGGTAAGTGAAACTTGACACTCATGTGACTTTGAATTAATTCTGGCTTGGCCCAAGTAACTAATACACCAAGCCGGTACTTGGAGAAGTATTCCACAATAAAATGCAAATTATGCATTGTGGCTTAGTTGAAAATTGTAAAGGAAGGTTGATGCCATTGCTTTCGTTGGGGAACTGGAGTTGTGTCTGGATGTGCATTGATTTGACGCTTCAGATTCATATGGCAAATTTAATCTCTTCATGACCTTTTGACCCTGTTGGGGTATCTCAAGTAACCAGAGATGGTTGGTTTATTGCTGAAGATTACACCTGTCCATCTAAACCTGTAATGACACCACATTAAAGCTCCAGAGAAATAGTAGAACTAACAAATCTAAATGTCTGTGAGGCCTCCATCACGGCCACTCTGACTTTCCACTCACAAGACTACTTCAGATGTGGGGCCTCTTTTCAGCCCCTAATAATGCCTGTGCAGAGTAAAATTGATTGGACTGCTGTAAAAGTAAATAGCTATACTTTTAATCAGTCTAGTAGTTGCACGAAGCACTCATCAAAACACCATGCCTAATGGTATCCCACATTTACATGTACATGTAATCAGTAACTTGCCAAGTTCCTCTTTCCTAGTGTGGTTTCATCAACTTAAGCCATTTGCAGCAGGCTGGCAAATATTTGTATTGCTGGTAGGAGTGATAACAGATGCCCTGAGATTTGTGCATCTTTTGTCTGAAGGGGCTGTCCATAGTGTTTACTTGGTGGATTTTTAGGGTAGGATCACAAAGGGTGCTCCCTGTGGTGTACTCAGGCAAGCTCCTCCATGGGTCTCCAAGGAACAATCCTTGTTTGGCAATTGTTACCCAATCAACTCCAACAGTTTGTTGGCAAACACTGATCTGCATAACTTTTCCTAAGTTAGTTATATACTCTGTTAATTTCAAACAACTTTACTGTTAACAGGAGGTCTATGTCTGTTCCAGAACAGAACAGGGCTTTTGTACATTGCAAATTTGTTTCAGTTAGTGTTCTTGTATTCATATGCAGTATTCATGAACTATCATACATTCATGAATGATGATAGTTTTCTGTAAGTCTTGTAAATCTGTAGATAGGAGTTTAGAATGTAATGTTAAAGGGTATTAACAGGAAAAGAAAACATTTAGTTCACGTGAAGTATTTTAAAATAACAATAAATACATAGCCATTTCAAAAACATCGTAAATTTAATGTTTAACCATTAATTTAGACCCCAATATTAATAAAATGATGCTTTTTCCCCACCCACCAAAAAAAATCACCTTTCTGACCGTTTGTGTTCCAGAATGCTGACTTGTAAAGGGTACACGTACATTGCATTACACTGTCTTAGTTCAAGGTAGAAATTAAAAGACACAGTCCTACCGTGTGTTTCTTGAACTGAGACAGCATTTGCCTGTGGGCCAAGCATGTGTTTTATTTCTCCATGGGCCAAGCAACATCAAACACAACATAGTCCATTGAAGCATGCGATACTGCATGTACTGTGCGCAATGTACACTGTAAATGTCAGTGTTCTGGCGAAGACGTCATCCAGTCAGCCTGGGAGCACTAACAGCCAAAAGGCGACATTTTGTAGGTGGGCAAACACAGGACCTTTTTATTCATTTTGGGGTCACAATTAATGGGGTAAACCTTAAATTTACAATGTTTTGAAATGGTTATGTGTTTGTTGTTATTTTAAAATATTTACGGGAACTAAATGTTTTCTATTTCTGCTACCCTTTAAGATGATGTCTCATGTATTAGTGTAGTGCTCGACTTCATCATGATACATTGCACTGATATACATGTAAGTTTCATATCAAGGGGAAGTTGTACAATGTAGTTCTGAAGATGTACATTACATGTATGTACCGGTACATCACATGTAGATTGAAAAAAAGCCATGTCACCCTTAGAAAACTGTGCACAAAGTCAATGGGGTTTTTAATGTTGAAAATTTTACAGTAAACCATGTGATAGAATAATCATGACTTAATTGCACATCATCCTGAGGACAAGTTCTACCTATCTACATATTGCATGTTAATCACAACTCTACTGGTATATGCAATAAACATCGCCATTTTTGATGACGTCATCAAGACATCATTGAATTTTCACATACACAACCTTGGTTTGTGTCTGCGCCAAGTTTCAACTTGATCAACACACGATTCTGGAGGTACAGGTCTACAAGTAATTGAACTCGGAGGGCATATCATGAGAATTATGATGTTGACATCATCAGCTTCAGACTTCAAATTGTGGGCATGAAGGTACAATAATTTAATTGTATCTACCAGGAGTGAGATGAGGGCATTTATGCATTTCTACACAAACCAGAGTCACTGCATGTGTCTCATCTCAGAGTAGAGTCAATATCTATTTAAGCTCACTTCACCCTCAGGCTATGAGCTTTAAATAGAATAATCCCCTTTACAGTCTTCCCCCTGAAGGCAGATTCAATATTGACAAAGCTCTGACCTTCAGGAATTACCTGACCCAAAACAGCAGCAAAATCCTCAAAGAGGAGAGGGATTAAGTCACAAAGGGGGACATCACAGTAGCGCTTGTCTGTGGGGGAGGTAAGTTGAGGTGGACAGGAAGAAGCAATGGATGGGTGAGAAACATTTTAAGAAGATGGTAGGGAAGGAATGGAGGAGGATATACCTACTTTCAAACACCTACAAACATTTCCTTCATTTAACATTCATTATTACTATTATATTTACTAATACATTTACTATTATTACTGTCTTAAAATTCATCAACTATTTTCTAACTTGCCACCGAGTTGTTTGGTAACACAGACAGTAAAATATCTTATTTGCCATTTATTAGTGCAATGTTTATACACTGTAGGTTCAAGTACTCTGTTGTCAGTGTGATGTTCATTCCAAAGTTCTGGTATTGTACATGTAAGTCACCTCATGGTTTCAAAAAGATTAAAAATGATCCTTGTTGGAGGCAGGAAGATTAAACCAAGTATTTGCGAAGCACAATTATTTCACTGATCTCTGAAACATTTTTATTAGTTTGGTTATTTTCAAATGGTGAAGCTTCCCACTTGTATACATTTTGCCGACCTAAATATTTTTGACAGGAATGGCTGTAGTTTCTGTCAATGAAAACAGTAAAATGAACCCTCACATTCCACAGTCCCTGTAACAACCAAGTTACATGTACATGTACTATCAAGGCTGAAATACAACTCTGGAGGATAACATTTATACATATGAGCAAAGTATAGGCACTGAAACTCACTGATGACACGCAGAAAGCAGTTAGGTGTAGTGGAATATGGATATGTATGTGATCTCTTCCAATTTGGCTGTGTATGATGTATAGCATGTTTGCCTGATGGAGACTGATACAGTTAGGAAGGGCACATTCTATCCTGAGGCAGATGCACAATGAGCATTGTGTCCAAGGACTCATACTTTTAACATTCACTATTGCTGCTTAAGGGGACCCAAATGTGTATATGCACCAAACATACATGTACACTGTACACACAGGTTGATTATAATAAAAATGTTAAGTATATACAACTCCAATTATTATGGGCCCACTCAGCAGTTAGGATAATGTTGACAGTTGCTATTTACATGTATCACCAGTCAATGGGACACAAGATGTACACAGATCAATGACAGTTAGCTGTGTTGATTTAAGTCATGGCTTCGACCAGATCTATCCACTTTAGCAGTTCTTTATTACAATAAGTGGCACAGTTGGGCTATGGTATATTGTGGCAAATGGCTTTATTCAGAAGTCATCCATCTTGAACTGAAGCATGGCGATCTCTGCAAAACTTCACAAATCCATATGTATAGAAATGAAAATGATGCAATTGTTCAAAATCAAAAATTACTACACTTCATAAATATTCACAAACAAACTGGAATGCACGTGGACAATTCCACCATACATTCAGGAAGTAGAAATGACATGCCCCCAGGTAGCATCATCCCAGTGAGTATCAACCCCCTAGCCTCAACAATTCCCTCTGGAACCAGCCTTGTAGATACATAAAGTGTGGCAAGCAATCTTACAGAACCAGCTAACTACTGCAGTAAAGATACATTAAAGGGTACTGGCACCAGACTGTTTCAATCCTCTTGCCAGGTATGACACAAGAACTCTGCATGCAGCTCTAAAAGTACATTACCAGATTTCCATCATTTTATGAGCTTGGTTTGAGGGAAGTGGTCAGAATTACTGGCCCTTTAATTTAGTGTAGGTCAGCTTGACTACCTCCCTGTACTTCACATCGGGAGGTAGTCAAGCTGACCTACACCTCAGGACCAGTATGCATGTACTTCCCCCTCAAACCATGCTATATTTGTATTTTACCATCCTTGCACTTTGACGGCTAGATACAAATTATAGACTGAAAGTGATATCACATTTATTGTCCAAATGAAAATATTTTTCAAAGTGAGGCTATACCTGCACAGTGCAATGATGGGTCCACACAAACTGTTCAGAATAGCAGCTGTTTGGTACAATGATTATCAGTCACCGAGTATGTGATGCACTCGTTCGGGCTCTGGCCCATTCAAATGTATGGTGGCCTGCCTCACAAATGTTTCTACATGTGGGGCAACACTTCCAACACAATGTCATGCCTTTTCTTTGATGCATGTTCAATTTCTTCTATTTTTCATCGTTCAGTTGGCTCTTAATGGAAGTCAAATCACAAAATGGAATCAAGTTTGCCATGAGTTTCCCTTAAGCTATCATTTAAAAATCACCTGCAATCCATGCAGCGCAGTTACACTGATTTCTGCAGCAAAATCACAAAAGTAATGGGTGGTGAAGTGGCAATTTGGAAAATGTTTGATGAATTTTTTAAGCCAGTGGAGTCGCAATGATAAATGACCCGAGTCATCGGCAACGATAAGTCAGCAAGCATTGTTCAAAACAATTAAAACCTAGCAAAATAATTTACAATGATTTTCTGCAATTTACATGCACGTTGTAAAAGTTAAATCTACGTGTATCTGTGCACATATTTTTTGTTTGAATTTTTTTCCCCCAAGGTAAAAATCCTTGCCTTTGTAACAATGAAACGAAGCAAAGGTTTCTGCAAAAGAGTAAGAGTTAACCATGTTGTGTGTATGGACTTGGAGGCTGGTCTACCTGGCCATGTGCCTATGAATGTTCATGTGCAAGTACCAACCAGCGATACAGACTACACTACCTTGTGGTCATTTGCAAGTACAATTTTCCTTAATTTTGGAATCATCATCAACAGTCCAATATGTTTATTTGAAGTAAATTTTCAGTATGTGGTACACAGAATACATGTACATGTATTTGGGAGCTAAGGGGCATGTTCGGTATACCTGATTATTCACTACATAGCAGTGTTTGGTATAGTGGTGTTCCACTGTAATTACAGTTAGATAGGGTATTTAATCCGTAAAGTGGGTCAGGGAAATATTCAACATGCCATAAGGATCTAAAAAGCCTACAGCATTCAATTGCTGCACAAGTTTTACAAAGAACTTGCACGGATGATTCAGATTGTTTCTAACTGTCTGACATGAGGGGGTCAAGATCTTTATGGATCAAACTTGGGCGGGTAGCAAAATGTGTGATCATTGTGATAAATAGTTTTCTTGGTTCTAGATTCAAATGTATTGGGTACATGTGAATCTCATAAAGCTTGAATTGGTGATTAATGTAATAGCAAAATAAATCCCATCTTTGAATTTTCTGTAGCAAATCAAATATCAACAGTAACGGTTGTGTGTATACACAGCACACTGTAGGTACAATCTGAAATATGGCACACATATACACAAGGGCAATGACTGCACATATACATTTAGGGCACACAGTACAGCGTAATGCAAGCAACTGTGCAAGCGTTAAATTTGACGTTGTCATGAGATCATACCAAGCACCAACAAAGGCATGAATATTCAATTTCCTATACCTCAGTACATGAAGTTTTAAGGATGCCGATTACCATCGACAAATTGCGGTGGCGATCATAGGGTACAAAGGCGTTTCATGGTTGTGAAACAGATGGTGTGTAACAAGCAAGTGTGGTAATTGGCCAGATGTTACGGCCAGGGCAGTTAAGGCTCCTTCTGTGTCCTTCCTCTATGGTTTCACAGATCATGGAATAACTAAGGAAGATCATGGAACCAAGGCTGTGGCTTGCAATCACACATAGCAAAACTTGAGTAATACTTGGAAAAAAAGACTTGTAACTTGCTTGAGCTTGGACCAAATTGACTTGTGACTTGACTTGACCTGTGATTAAATGACTTGTGACTGGACCAAATGACTTGTCACTTGGCTTAGACTTGCAAAAATTGGCTTGTGACTTGCCTTGTACTTGCAAAAATTGACCTGTTACCACCTGCGTCAAAAAGTAGGCCACACCATTTTTTCACACGATTACATTCATGACGATTACATTGTGATATCAACCATTACTTTAAAGAACTAGATGTACGTGTATGTATGTATCGTTAGCCACAGTTCAGTCAAATTGAAAGATTTCCACCCTGCTCTGGACTAAGGTTTGAGTTCAACTCTGGTCAGAATAAATCTGAGGGTCAGCAAAGTGTTGGCATGGATTTGAAAAATTTAAGTGTGTAACATTGCATGTTTTTAATCCCACATCAACCCACGTCAACTCCAAGATTTATCTAGCGTGTAAAGGCTTATACTTTGACTCTACCTTTTCCTTGGTGAATCACCGCTGGTTCGGATCTGCCTCTCTGAAGTAGTTCCATCCAGGAACGAGTAGCCATGATGAGAGGAAGGAGTGCTTTGCTGAGTTGGTATGTGCCGATTCTCACTGGAATGTCTATGCTCTAAAACTTTAATAAAGAAAGCATCCACTAAAAAAACACATCTTATCAACCTACCTGCCCCTCTAATTTAGAGGACTGAAAGAAAGTAAGGTAAAAGCCACGAGAGGGGGACTAGGAAGAAGTGTAAAGATGTTCCTGTCTTCATTTATGCTGAAGAGTACAAACACAGAGAAGTGATGACCAGTATAAATTTGAATGCAGCATCACATTTCTGTAAACCTATCAAGGTTTAAATAAATGTTCCTTTCACTTCAACTCATCCTTTTGGACAATGGAATGCCTCAATAACTTACCTATATAGAGTACATGCAAAGACAAACAAACAATGAAAGATCATTAATTATGATATAACAATTCATAAGCTGCAGGGGTGAGATGAAGAAATTGAAGAAATCCACGAAATAATCACCAGAGGTTTTGAGGGCCCCTCAGAAGCATGAGGTTTATGGCGTACATTTGCATTTGCCTATAGGCACTCCTTATAATTCCCATTTCTTGTATCAACTGATATATATTAAAAAATACTGTAATAATAATCTCAATTTTCCAGATTTGAAAACATTTTTGAAAAATCCTGAAGTTAGGAAATTCCTGATAAAAAATCCTGAAATCCAGAAAAATCCTGACAAATCTCAGCCCTGAAGTTGACAGCTTCTTGTTTTATGACTATATTTCTCTAGTAAAATGGATATTACGCCCTTCCCTTAACACAAATTTCAGAATAATTTATTCATCAGCTAACCATGTTTTCGTGTAAATTCATAAATGATAGATGTCGTCAGGTTTCTGGCTGATGGTGTGTAATTATTGGCAATGGAATCACTGACATGCCGGCTATGTTTCTGTTCTTTGGTGGGTGCAGCTTGGGTGTATGCTCCTGGCTGGACTATCTTGGGTTTCTCACTGAAGGCAGGCTGCAGTAGGGACAGGAAAGTAAATAAGCTTCAATTATTATCAAATTCCATGGTAACACCTGCAAGACCATTATCTGACCATTTCCAAACCAAATTTGTGCAATACCATTATTCATTGTTTATTTACTAATCCTCTTGGTTCCATACCTGTGATATCCTAGGTCACACTAGGTTACAATAGAGCCTGCACATTTATATCCAGGACCCATTTAATCCCGAACTACATGTTGTCTGAGTGAAAAAGTCACTGCTGTTTCCATAGAAAAACTGACAGCAAAGCCAATTGCACACCTTTATTGTTAGTGGTTTCCGTTATGCTGGCTTTTCACGCTGGCACTAAGTAAATGCTTCCGCCTAGATCGATACTCAGGGTTTCCTGTCTTTCACAAAGACCTGCACGTAGCTGCCAATTACAGCTGGCTAGGTTCTTTGCCTCACTGTCAACTCACTACTTATGAATGCCACTGACATTTACAATGAATACAAGTATAAAGGACACTCAATAGAAGAAGAACACAATTATTAATGATAAATTACATGAATAACAGAATCTTCTTTGTAATATTACAATCAATATTTATTTACCAATGGTCCATGGATGAATACTGGTATGAAGCACAAATGTTACCAGTACATATTAAGATGAAATCAAACATCACCCATACATGTACTGTTTTATACCGGTATACTTGTTAGAGTGGGTATAAATTAACCCTAACCCCCTAAGGTGAATGTAAAGTTAGATTGAAATTGGAGGATTTGGGACTGTCTATGCAACACTATACCGGTACATCAGAATGTAGTAAAGTGATGCACCAGTATACGTACATGTATGTACTGTACAGGTATGCATACATGTACGTTGTTCATGTTGTTCATGTTCATTTATTTCCACAGTTCACTAATTAAGAACCAGCGACAAGTTGATACACAAGGGATCCCAACTGATGAAAGTAAATGTCTTCAAATGTCAACATCTTATGTTTGGAAAATAGTGGATCAGTATGAGCATTAAAATCAGTAAAGTTGATAATTTCGAATGGCTCATTTTTGTAAAAGGAAATATCTATTAAGATTACTTAGGGAGCATGCAAGAACACCATGCATTACTAACATACGATAATATTAAAGTATTGTAAAGAGTAGTTAAAACTACAGTAGGAATGAATTATTGGATTCTTTGGATAACTCCTATATTCCTTGCAATAATTTTACAAAGGTAGTCTACATATCCCTAGGAATATCCCTAGAGTGTGCTCAGAGTTATCTATTGCATTTGTTAATTTATCAACAAAGTTAAGAATAGCATGTGTAGTAGAGTGATGACCTTGAAAACCGTACTGACAATCAGTTACCAGTAGGATATTATGTTTATTAAAAAACTGGATAATACGAGTATACACACTTTTTCAAATATCTTAGACAAACAAGTCAGAATAGATATGGGTCTGTAGTTCATAACAGAATTAACATTCCCATTTTTAAAAATAGGAATTACCTTTGCAAATCTTAGTGCATCAGGAACTATTCCAGTTTTAAATAAGGCATTAATTATATGAGCAATGGGCTTACTAATTGAAGTGATAGTTTTTAATAATAGAGGAACGAATTAAATCATGCCCAGTGCTAGTTTTATTTTTTCGATTCTTGGTGATATCAATTACCTCTTTCTCATCTACTGGCTTCAAAAACAGAGATCTTGGGTTAGGATTATTCAAAAAGTTGGTAAATGATTCCAGCAAACTAGGAATATGTTTTGCAAGATTAGAACGTAGACTGACAAAGTAGTCATTGAAACAATTAGCAAGATGTTGGGGATTACCAATTACTTTGCCTTCATGGATAATGCTGTTGATAGACTGGGAGGGCAATTAATTGTTTAAAACTGAGTTGATGACTTTCCAGGTATTATAAGTATTTTTTTCCTGAACGAACTGATTAGAATAATATTGTTTTTTATAATTCTGTAAAAGACTGATTAACATGTACATGCAATTCATGCCAAGAAAACAAAGAAAAAACCCCTGCTCAAGGAGCCATGACAGAGTTTTACTTTAATGTCTGTACATTTTAAATCTGATCGAATGATTTAACGAAATCAAACTGTGGGCTTTTTGAGTAAAGTTTATCAAATATTTCTCTGAAGATTAACAGTGGATGAAAGGTGATGGTGAAGAAAGGGGAGTCAGGTTAGCACAGTGGTTCTTTCCTCACCTTCCACCACTGTGGTCTGGGTTCGAATCTTACTCAGTCCACATTACAGTCCCTACCTGATTCCGTGGGTTTTACCCAGAATAATATTCCAGGATTTTTCCTTCCATTTCTAAAACTGTAACTGTTCTCGTTGTCTCCTTTATACGGGTTTCTTCAGACTCGTGAGCTAGGGTGCTTTTGAGGAATCCTTGGTGCCATTACCAGAAGTGATTAACAATCATAGTAATAATTTTAACAAAATTATTCAAATCGTGTCTTTTTGTAAACATGCATTTTATCTTTTCAAATCTCTTGCTTAAAAGATTTGCTTTTAGTGCCCGTCTACTGATACCAGTGTACCGCAGACATTTGGGAGAAGGGAACAACACCAGAGAAGAAATGTAAAAATAAATTGTGACAAAATTCTGGAATCATACAAAATTATCACAAAGTGCCAAAGTACCAATTGGTAGCAACGATGTTGACACCAGGCATATGGATCAACATTTTCAATGGGTCATTCTACTTGATACTCTGGTACACAATGATCATGATTTTACTGCCTTTACAATTAAAACTGTGAACGTGTCTGCCTTACAGACACGTTCTCCCTGTACTTCACAATACACAACAATAAACAAAATAATTAAAAACAACACAAAAATGGAAATAAAACTTGTGTTTATTACATAGCTAACACAGAACTGTTTCAAGAATGGTATTTGTGTAACTGCTGCTATCAAACAAAGTCTGCTGTGGATCATGATATTTCACTGACAACACTTGACTAGGGTTGTCATCAGGCCAAATTTAGTGCTGGGTAATATTTTGGCAAAGCGCATTGCAGGAGCTCTTGCGGGTCACGGCCAGGGGTCAAGGGGCCCGTTCAAGGGCCCCTGGTGGGCTCCAGGGGCAATGTCCCCGGTGGGGGTCGAGGGGGTAGAGCCTCCTAAAGCTCCAGGATTCTGGGGGTTTTCAGGGGGGAAATCAGTTTTTTTGAGGTATGTTATAAAGTGTACATGTAATTTGTGTTTGTAAAATGTGGAATTACCAATAAATAAAGGATGAAACAATTGCCTCATAGTATTTTTGTTACAATGTACAGCAAAAATTCCTTATTTTGTGCCATAATTCTAGATTTATTTATCTGCATACAATGTCTAGCTGTCAAAACACTGTATTGTCCCAAAACAATGTGTTTAATGAACTTTGACCGGGCAATGGCAGATCCATTCATAAAAAACTTTTTTTGACAATTGGCGCAAAAACACGAGCATGTGCACGCACAGTATGACTATCTTCATTTGCCTCGTACACAGACTTCATTGTGAATTGTATACAAGTTCTGAGAAAGAGGAAGTCAGTTGATACTACGCGTCATTCTGATTTACCTACTCCTGCTGGAACATGATTGTACAAATATAGACAGCTATTTGTGCAGCAGGGGTGTTACTGCTTGACATCGCTCGCTTGCTCGTACGTGTACACACTACATGCATCGTGCATACATGTACGTACATGCAAAGTACACTGAATACTGCATGTGAAGCTGGCCTCAGGTGTTGGGATATGGAGTCATATGGCCGCAGTGATTCGATCATTTCAAGGACTGGATTGGTGCGTTATTTTAAACTTACTTCGGTGTATTACAGTTTTAAAACAAGGAATTAAACACAGAAATATTTTATAAGATTTGTAAACATAGGAACATACAGTGTACATGTACATGATAAATTTTTTAATATTTTATAAATTTATCATCTCAGGGAATGAAATATGTGCCAGGTGGTCAGGCTCAAAATTACTCCAAGTGCCAAGCAGAGATTATGAGAGCAAGCGGCCCTGCTTGCCACTGCCTGGTGTAGCTACAACCCTGTACTTAACCAATGACTTCACCATCATGACATCACAACACTTTAAAACTTACCATGCCTAACGTCTTGCAACCTCATTCAGATACAAACAAAATCAAAGTTGCCATAGGCAGTAATAAAATAAAAGTCTTGCAGGTTTACATTCCTGGTTTTAACCAAAGGACCATCCACTGACTTGGTTTCACTGTGAAGAGTTTGGCACAGTAGTTCCAAGATTCATAACAATTGTGCTTCTACAGAGCACTCTCATATGAATGCATACATGTACATTATCGTGTTCACACAAAGTAGACACAGTGTTACCTACCATAGCCATTGAATTATTGAGTGACGGACTACTATTAGGGTATTTGTTTAATTATTGGAGAATTACATTTGTGACAAATAATTAGACAAGAAAAATTCCTCGCACTGTTTCTGCTGATGTTTATTCTGTCAATTAATGGAGATTACTGGATGTACATGTATCTTTCAGGATTGATTTTTTCCAGCAATTTTTTAAAAACTAAAGGTCTGTTATTGTAACTTTTGGTTTAATGGGATCAAATTAAAAATTCACAACTGCATTATTTGCTTTTACAGTCTGAGGTCATCAAGTTTACCAAATTTCAAGCAGTAACAGACATCAGCTGAAAATGCATTTTTGACAATTTTTATCCTAGCACCAGATAGCGCTTAGGTATTCCATGACGCCATTGGTCCAAGTTTTTAACAAATACTATGAGTTCATATCAGTTACCACTTTGTTACACAGCATTTCTGGTTTCAATTGCACACAAGGATCATGTGATTTTATGTACACAATAAAAATGAGGACAATAAATCACTTGCCACTTGCCACAGGAAGGAAAACAAAGGACTGCACCGTTTAAATTAGATGGATTTTTTTAAGATTAAAGATCTGAGTTCTTACTTGCTTCAAGTTGTGATTTGACACCTGATGATGTCATCATGATGTCATGATTTGGTTCACATCCTTAGACGATAGTCTGCCAAGTTTGAAGGAATCATAATTGATATAAGGCCCAAGTGGAGGTGTACCGGTGGAACGAAAATGTGTTATCCTGTGGGACTTGCAGTGGAAGTGACAAAAAATATAATGAAAACAAGAGCTGTTTCGGCCAGAGCCAAAAACAGCTACAGACATTTGATTTACCTGAGGTGCACTGAGCGGTGGTAGATGGGTGATGAAGTCTGGTCTATGCTGAAGCTCAAATTCGTTAGGCTGACAAACCTGGTGACGAACACCCTAATACAAGCCAAAAAATATACGTTGCAATAGTCAACCACATCAAATGTTTGACAAAGTATTTAAAATAAATGAACTGAATAAAGGTATGGGTGCACACACATAAATTACAGAAAACTTTATTTGTAATCAAAGGATTCTTTCACAGTCACCAACATACCAACACTTACTCTACTTGTACATGTACATATAAAATAGAAATTTCTTTAAACTTGAGCAACGAGTTATGTCACTCTAAGTTTACAGTGGTTTACATATACATCAGAACCATTCATTTCTATAGAGTACCGAAGTGTGACGTCACTGTGAACCAGAAAGTGCAGTGCAAATGAATGGAGTACGCATGCATGTTGGTTCACGGGCTGGTTCACGCACTCATGCCTTTTAGACACTAATTGTGCACGTGACATATTCACTTCGGTACTCTATTGGTCCACATAACAATATATATTCAACAACTACTGGCGCAAAAACTCTCAATGATTTGGGGAAGGTGGTTAGGGCTAGCACTAGGAGAGGCTGGAAACTTACACACTATGCACAAATTATTGTTAATCTTGACTCCCCATGTCTTTTAAACAAGCAGGCCATCTATTTGAAGTCAACACAAATGTACGTATTATGTACCAGTTAACAAATACAGAGATTGAACACAGCAGCCATCTTTCCAGTAACTGTTTGTGTTACGGAGGGATAGTACAAAAGGTCTACTAATGCATGTTCCTGTGGAATAAAAGCTCTTAGCAGAAAAATAGCCGCTGTGCAGAACCTCTATTCATGTACGGTACCTTAAACAGTTTCCCTACTCAACAGAGCACAACATGACCGTGTATTAACATTTGATAATGTCCACTGTGGGAGGCACTGCAATTTAATAACACCAGTTGCATAAAAACAAGTTGGTAGCTGGATACGAGACAGTTTAATCCATTCCTATAGGTCGAGAGTCTGTGTGCACCGCTGCACGCAGAAGTTGTCACACATACACCAAGTCCATATATGGAGATTCTTCTGGACTGCTTGCACAAGGAATATATACCATAAAAGTGACAGGGTGTTCAGGAAAATGAAAGTAACATTCTTGAACAAAACGTTTGGAAATTTATTGCATATTGACTTTTTTGACTCTGACTAAAACAGTACATGTATTTATAAATGTGAATTTTACATGTGCTTGGTTAAAGTTTAAGACCAGCTGAGGAGAATGAATGTTGACGATACCCTAACCTGTGACTTGGGCATTAGCCACGTCTGTTCTTCTGAGACGGTCTTAAATGCATGTTTAAGACCAGCCACACACATATTTATCAATGTTGTACATGTAGGTCTCGGTTTTTGGCAGTCTCGATCTTGATACCTAGTGGTCTTGATCTTGATCCCGGTCTCAGATATTGGAGGTTTTGATTTATCCCTGTTCTCGAGTTGAGAGCAGTCAAAAACCAAAGATCAACACCATATTATGCACAACCTTATTCATGGATTCGTATGTACATTGTACTACATACATGTATTTTTAACCTCGGATTTACCGGTGTGCATGTGCCAGTGGCATAACCACGGGGGGCCTGGGGAGAAGGGACGTGTGCCCCCCCACAAATTCCTGTTGCCCCCCCCAAGGTTCCCCCTCCCCACTAAAAAAAAATGAATGAATTGATACTGCACAAGGCTAACAAACGCTTGCCTCCAAAAAAACACACCACTGAGAGCCTGTCCCATACGATGCTGGTCCCTTCTTGTATTCCCCTCCACAAGTAAAATCCTTGCTACATGTACAATGTACACCACTGGCATGTGCGAAGTATGACTGTACAATCACTGTACTAAGCGCTGGGGGCAAGTGCGAATATTGTAGCACATTCATGTACATGTACTACACGATGTACAGTACAGC